TTATAGTATATATATATACTATATATCTATCTATCTATCTATATATCTATATATATATATATATATATATATATAGTGCCTATAAATAGAATGCATGGCAGGATGAATATCATGACTCATTTGTAAACACTTTACTGTGCATTCAGCAATTAGCATATACACATATGAATCATATGCAGTGGTATAGAATGTTGTTTTGAATATTTAAATGTTGACTTACTGACATGCATACACAAAATTGTTTTATGTATAAATATAATTATACCTATACAACTACACCTACATATCCTCATTTGTACCTGATTCAATACATACAAATATAATTATTAACCACATTATCTCTCTCAACATTGGCTTGATGGACTTGACTGAGCACATGATCACTTTGTATTTGTCATAGTTTAGATACTATGAACTTTTAATATATTAAGTGTATGTCCACAAAATTTGGTAGTAGTGCACTAAATAATATTTATAAAATAATAATTTTAATAAAATAATGCAACAAAAAACAGAATAATAACATTCAAAAAGCAGACAATGTCCCATAACTATCACAGTTTTTCTGGCTTTCTATCTCTGCAGAAAGAACCATTAAAACTTCATCGAACTATTTAATAGTATTCCCATGGGATCCAAAAGATTTTCTCGGAAAGTAATTTACATTTCTTTGTGCAAAAAACAACACAGTATAATGTGTCATTTGATAGACAAAACCCTTGGCTTTCTGTTGGTTATAATTAATATAGTCGTAAACATAAAAGAGAACTACTGACAGATCCTGAAAGAAAGGATGTGACAGGTGGGCATAGCAGGAGGGATCTGATTTTCTATTTGATGGCTGTGTAACAAACAAGATTGAAGAACAATATGGATGAACTGGATTAGCCAAAAGTTATTAACAAATTTATTAGTTGCAGTACAGCTTGTCTAAATATGTTTTCTTCTCCAATAAAAGATTAATATGTATAAAGTATTTGTTTAGTTGATTTCTCGGTTGGGGCAGCATGTCTAGCAGATTTTCAGGGGGGCCAGTCTCCCTACCCCCACCCCCCAAGTTTGGCAAGTATGACTGATTTTTGAAGTAGCTTTTAATTCTTGTATGTTAAATCACAAGTTGTAAAAAAGAGAGTTAGTATTTTTCTAAAGAACTTTCCTATTGTTTTGGTAACTAGTGAGAGAATAGCTTAATCTAACCAACCCAATAACATGCATGATATTTGTTTTGGATAATTATTTCTACATGGTTTATTTTAAATGTTTGTTATTTGTGAAATCACATGATTGGGTTTTACTTTAGTTAAAAACATTTCGTTTTTAAACTGTATAGCTTCAAAATGTAATATATTAGAATAGGTGCAGTCCATTTCGAGGACAAAATTTCACTAATGAATTTAAAAACAAACAAAAAAACTTGTAGTATTTTTTCCATACATAAATTTCAGAGTTAAAATTTATGAAACCCTAAAAGGGACAGTGTGAAAACAATAACACACATACATACTGTGGTCATAAAAGTTTGTGCACACAAGTGTGTTACAGTAGCATTACACTGCAGTTATGATAAATGAAACAAAACTGAATGAAATAATTATATCTATTAAGTTTTACTTCTTGTTTTTCCATAAAGTTGTGATAATATAGTGATAATCTTTTCCTGTTCTGCCTGTATATGATATAAATGCAGGAAGTACTGGCTTGTGCATGCTGCTTAGTATCTGCTCAGCATGAGAATGTTTGTATTATATACTTTTTATTTTCACAATGCTTCTTTACACTTAGTTCTGTACAAATTTATTCAATAAAAACCGTTTATTTTATTTTACACATAAAAATTAAAGCAAATTACATTCCAAGATGATACCACACATCTATACTCAGTTTGACTATCTTTCAAGTATGCCTGCATGATCTAACATGAATTGCACTAAAGCACGAAGATGTAATCATGTGACAAAGCCCTTCACCATGACACACCTCCATGTGCACTTTATTGACCAGACATGTTTAAAATATTTTAGTCTATGTTCAATCTCATGTAACTTGCATTTTCAATATAACTTTGATTTTCATTTTCTTTGGCTTTTGTTTTAAAAGCTTTAATTTTTATCTTGAATTATAAAAAAGACTGATTTACATTTAGTCCTCAGTGTGTGACATTGTTCCCACTTGAGCCTTATTTCATTTGTGGCTTTTGGAGGTTCATTAACTGTAAGGATCGTTTCAGCTATTGTTCAGTGTGTTGTGGATTACCACATGCTTAATGGGCCTCCTGCTCCTGTCCTATCAGCCAGTTTGCTTTCTCAACAACTAAGAATGATCTTTCGGACTACCTCCTTCACCTGGTTTGCTTTGGGTGGTACATTAACATTCATAAAATGATCTTAACCTTTTGATCTCTTTCTGGATTTCCTTCTCAGGTTTGTTCCTTTCTTTATCCTTTACTTATTTTCTTTATTATTTTCGTTTTCTCACCTTATCACCTGCTATTCTTGGGGTTTTTATTATCATTTTTCCCTGCTAGTTATTAGGCCAAAATTCCTCATTCCCCTCATGTTCATCCTCATTTTTCCTGATTTGTAAACTTGCTTCCTTTCCTTTTCTCGATTCTCAATTCATGGTATCAATCTGGCCAGCTTACGGTTCCTGCACCTTCTCTTTCATTCCTAGTTCATAAGTTTTGCTTTTTCTCTCTCTCTTCTCTTCTATATTCCCTTTTCTACTCCTGCCTTTTATCTGAAGCACTTCATGCTTCTTGTGGATTCTGTAGGCATTTGTTCATGTATCTTCTCTGTTTAGCCTGTTCTACTTCTGCTTTATCTCTCCATACTTTGTTTTCCTACTGTCGGGACTTATTGGATCAGGCTATTTTCCTCTTTCTTGTATCTCTTCCTTCTTCTTCTGTACCTCTTTTTTCATCTGACTCCCTTTCTTTGCCTAGATGTCTTCTGTGGTGATCCTTTCCACTGTTGACTTGGACTGCTGTCATAAGAGTTCTGTTCTCAGTATCTTCCCAGGTTTTAATTCCACCTTTTTCACCTTGCTCTTTGCTTCTATATCTCGTTTAGATCTTCCTTCTTCTCATCTTTCCATTCCTGATTCCAGGCCTTCATATTTTTCTCATCTTTTCTCCTCTACCAGTAGTCTAGTTCACCACTCTTTTTGTCTTTTTATCAGTGACTATCATACATGTACATCTCTTTGGATACCTATCGCTTCTCATGCAGTTGGTCTCACTTTCTGTTGGTGTGTCGTTTTCTTTTCTCCACCCTGGTTTCTCTCTGCTTCTCTTCTCATTTTCTTCACCTCCTCCTGACCACATCTATGGTTTTTTCACCCAGTCTGTGGTTGGCCATGGTTGATGTGTTGGGCACTTTCCTACACATCTTTCTCAGCCTATCCTTCCTTTGTTTTTTTGTACTTCTTCATTCTTTTTTGTGTTTTCCTGTTCCCTGCTCTTCCCTATAACTCTCTCAACACAGGCTCGGTTAATTTGACTGACTATGGGACCTCTTTTGTACTCAGTTAAATCTTTATATACACTTGGAAAAAAGTTAAGCACCCCCAAATATTTTTCAGGATTGCTTATTGAAAATAAGGTTTAATTTTCATGATGTTGAGCAATGTTCATAATTTCAGACATAATTAAAAGGATGTGAGCATTCAGGTGTGACATTTAAATTAGGCGCGTTTTTTTCCCCACGTGCAACTTGCTCCCTTCTTCACGTCCAATATGCACTATTTTCTCGTGCATCAAATCCG